TTAATTCGTAGATGCAGTTCAAATGTTTTGTCACAAACTGATCAAGGCTTGGGGAGATTGCAAAACGTATTGGGTTTGAGTTTGATGCTTCCGAGAAGCGAACAAAGGTATATGAAGCTTTGTGCAAGATTCCGGGTTTGGACCTTACTGAAAGAACATACGTGTCAATGCAACTAGCAAAAGACAAAGAAATTTTAGACTTGTTTTTTAGTATCCCCGATGATGCAAGGGCTGAGATGACTAGGCTAATGATAACAAGACAAGCTCCGTAAGGGAGTTGGTTCTCTTTATCCCCTTCGACTTATTTTGGTATATTTTTATGCCTTACGACTTATTTTGGTATTTTTTGTTATATATTTCGAAACCTGCTGCGAAATGTATTTTTGAATGTAAACTAGTTATTTGTAGGGCAAGAGGGGATATTTTTCATTAATGAATTATTATTTTGTAACAATTGGTTCAATATTGTAAGAACAATTGTATCTGTTAATTTTAAAGAACAATTGATAGAATTTTAGTAAGTTGAAGAGTTTGTGCTATGTAATGCAGTGAATATTTTTTGGCATTTTTATTAACTCACATTTGCTGCAGGGGAGTGGCTAATTAAACATTTGATTTTGGTATACCTATTTAAATTCCACACAAAGGTGCATAAGCCCTAATTTTAGAGTAGGTGATAAAAGTTAAAAAAGGGCAGTTTGGTCACATCTCATAGAAATATTCATCAGTACATTGAAGTAAACGTGGACTTTGATAAAAACAACTTCATCAATATTATGAAGTACACACAATATATATTATATTACTTTTCCTCATCTCTCAATTAGTACTCCATTTTATCAATACACCCACATCCCATATGGGATAGTAAACGAGGCCTAATACTAAGGAAGAGTATTACACATCCCACCCCTAAGCTGGTATGGGAGATCCTTGGATGAGGGTCAAATACTGCCGGGCTGCTCATCAATATTAGGCCTCTAGTATTAGAATAATGTAAAGTAAACATGTTACTGGGCTGTACTAAAATAATATATATAGGCTAATATATTGAAGTAAACGAGGCCTTAGTGTAACATTTCAGTCCTATTAGCATAGGAAAAATTTCAGTCATCTAGCATATAATTTCAATCATATTAGAGTAGAGAAGAATTTCAGTCATTTTATCATAGAATTTGAGTCATATTAGTTAGTATAAGTCAAAATCGCAAGTAAGTCGTATAATTCATGCAAGGTGACGAACTGACGGGAAATAAATAAGGAGTTAAAATTTATCTGAGTGAGATTGCCTGAGATTTTATAATTTTGTTACAAAATTATATAATCTTGTTGGCACGAGATTTCTATTTGTGAAGATTGAAGAAATCCGCCATACGTGGAAATTAAAGATTGGCAAAGATTTGTTTTCCATGTTTATTTTGGAATTAATTAGAGTCCTATTTTTGTAATATTGTTATTAGGACTTAGATTTATTTCCATGTATTATATTCTAGTTAGATATCTTTTGTACTTATCTAGAATAGAAGTAGAAATCGACTAGGATTCTATTACCTAGTTAATCGATTTCTTAGGGCCCAAGTTAGGTTTAGGGTGGTTGATTTCGTGCCTATATAAGGCCCTCAACCTCATATGAGTCCGATGGAGCTTTAATAAGAAAAATCCCAGCATAAAGGCTTTGAAGGGTGCAGCCCGTGCTGCAGCCCTGTCTGCACGGCACGTGTGGCAACAGAACAGGTTTCTTCTACCAGGCCATAAAGAAGATCGGCGTTTCGGGAGAAGTGCTTAAAAGATCTCGGGAGAGGTCGATCCGCCGTTTGAAGGAAGTTCAACATTGGAGGAAGTCCAAGAGTGCGGAGGAGGAATTGCTTTGATTATCAACAAGTTCGAGTCGTGTGCAAGAACGGCGTATCACATAAAGAGGGAGTCTTTAGTGTTTTATTAAGTCCTATTAATGTACACATAAATCTGAACTAGTTTTGCAAGTCCTCGTGGATGTAGGGTACGTTTGTATCCGAACCACATTAAATTGTTGTGTTCTTTATTCTGCTTTTTGTAGATTTATTACTGTGACAACACAACAATTCTGTTACGTCACCTAATGTCGTAACATGTAGTCTGTCTCAACAGATGAGTGGACTTTGATAGGCATTCAAATTCAACAATTGGCATCAGAGCGGGTCACTAGATATACTTAGTGTCTGATTTTGGGTTTTGATTTGTTTGCTTTGCTTATTGGATGACGTGTGTTCACAAGGAAGGTTGAGACGGAAGTCTGTCACGGCATTCACCCAATTCCGCTGCGTTGTAACGTGCCCCGTGATGGGACACTCTGATAGAAGACCAAGACGGGTGAAGAAAAGTGGCATCTCTGTTGCAGGGGGAGTAAATCTCATCTGCAGGGGGAGTTCTTGTTAAACATGGATTCTAACCAATCTATGCCAAAGGGGGAGATTATCAACAAGTTCGAGTCGTGTGCAAGAACGGCGTATCACATAAAGAGGGAGTCTTTAGTGTTTTATTAAGTCCTATTAATGTACACATAAATCTGAACTAGTTTTGCAAGTCCTCGTGGATGTAGGGTACGTTTGTATCCGAACCACATTAAATTGTTGTGTTCTTTATTCTGCTTTTTGTAGATTTATTACTGTGACAACACAACAATTCTGTTACGTCACCTAATGTCGTAACATGTAGTCTGTCTCAACAGATGAGTGGACTTTGATAGGCATTCAAATTCAACAAATCTATTTAAAATGTTAATATATTGTTATTATTTTTTTTTTTTTAAATAAAAATTTTACTATCTAGGATTCATTGCGTTTTACGATTTGAATTTATGATAAATCAGAGTTGTAATCCAATTTACAATTGAACGACAATGGATGTGAATTTACTTGTGATTGAAAAAAAACAAAAAAAAATCCACTATTTTACGAATCTTTGGTTGTTGTGAGTTTTCCTCGTGAGTGAAGAAATATCCACATCAATTTGAAGAAACTTCCACCATTCTACGAATCTTTTTTTCCAAATAACCTACCATTCCTTTACATTTTCATTTTATTTATTTTAATTATTTTTTTAGGCACACCAAACAATTTTAATTGTGGTGTGGGTACGAAATTAAGAAACAATAGCCTCAAAGTTCAAATCTTTATATATAAAAGAAGGATAAATTACGGCCAATCCCCTGAAATAAAGTCAAATTACGAAAACCCCTCCTATTTGGATAATTACAATAAGTTTTCAACTATAAATTTTTCTTACACGTCCATCCTTATGGTGTCAAATTCAACAGAATCTTCTAGATTTGGTAGAATGTTATCTAGTTTGCACTCGTTTTGTGCAAAAATGCAGTTTTTGATGCAACATAATCTGATATTTATAAGCCAAAAGACACAACTTATGTTCATCTTATTTCAAAATATGGAGCTCGAATGAGGTAAAACAGTACAAACTGGAAAATATTCCACATAATTTAAAAGATTCCACTAAATTTAACACCACAAAGATGGACGTGTAAGAAAATTTATATCAATTTTTTAACTTTTTTTTTTCTTCTAATTTCTAACTATAAAAAGTTCATAATTTATACTAAACCACGTATAATCAATCTCTTATTTTTCAACCATACATCTATAATTATATTTATAATTTTTTTTCTCTAAACTTTTGCTTCATTTCTTTAGCGATCAATTTTATTTTATAACAATTAAGTTTATATAATCTTTTGCAAAGTGAGTTCTTATTACTGTTGGGAAAA